CTTTAAAGACCAAAAGACAAATGACTTAACCGATTATGCCAAAAGACAAATGACCTAACSAATTATGCCAAAGCATAATCTAACTCAAACTGAGAGACAAAAGACTTTCCAACTCCTTTATTTCTTTCAGGTGGATGCTCAAGCAAGTAGATACCATTCGCCTCATGGCCAGTCCCAATCACCTTCTTTGTCACAAAATCTTGGAAACCACAATGATTAGGGAAAATAGTTGTTGAACAATTCAGGCTTTTAGTAATGCCACTAACAGAAAGAAGGTTAGTACTAAGTTTGGGCACATCTAAAGCGAATGATAAGGAAAGTGTATCAACCACTCTAATGTCCCCCTTACCAAAGATGGGGACAAGAGTGCCATCAGCAATAGTGACCTTATCTCTAGCAGAGGACAAGTGGTAAGAAGAAAATAGAGAGGCTAAACTGGCCATATGGTCTGAGGCACCCAAATCTACAATTCAAACAAGATCAATGTTACCTGTAGTTGAGGCATGATAGGCAGTAGCCCCTATACCCGACTGAGCAAAAGATGAAGTGGAAATAGAGGGGCCTAAGGTAGACTGAGATGGTCCAGTAATGCCAGCCTCACTCTCCAACTGCGTCAAGACTACCCTGATAGCAGCCAAGGCATCCAAGGAGGTAGACGTAGCTCTAGTAGAGGATGAGACATCTGTAGCAATGGAAACATTTGCATTTCCCTTCTTATTCTTAATTCTTGACAGTGCCAACTAAGGATGAAGCTTCCAACAGGTCTCTATAGTGTGTCTAGGTTTCTTGCAATAGTCACATATGATCTCCCTTTTTTCTTCCTTCCTTACATCTCTCTCCTTGTCACCATAATGCTTTGGCTTCAGAGCAGCAAAGGTCGTTTCAATCTTACAGTTTTGTAGCATAACTTTCCTTCTACTCTCCCCACTATGTACCAAAGAATATGCTTGAAACAAGGTAGYAGTTTCCCTAGTAAGAAGTTGTTGTCTAGCTATATTATATTCAGAATTCATCCCTGCAAAAAAACTCAAAAACCATGTTCCTTTCCATCAATTTGTTATATGTTGCTGCATCCTTCTGACTTTCCCATTCAATTGTCTCCAAGTGATCAATTTCATGCCATAGAGACTTTAAGGTTGAGAAATAAATCAACACAAGTTTCTCCCCCTGCTTCAGATTTGTCACTTCAACTTTCAGCWCATAAGCTCTTGCTACATCAAGAGGTTGAGAATAAGTTTCCTTCATATTATCCCACATTTCTTTGGTAGTCTTTGCCCAAAGATAGTTTCTACTGATATGAATCTGCATTGAGTTGCAAAGCCAAGTCATTACCAAGTAATTTTCTTGAACCCACTTCGCATAGGAGGGGTATTCCTTGGCTGGCATCTTAGTGTCACCACTTATACATACCCTAGCGTGCCCCTTCCTCCAATGACCATCATTGCAATTTGAGCCCATTCAAGATAGTTTGCTCCACCAAACTTGATGGTCGAAATCTGGAAGGAGCTACTGTTTGTCACACTACCAGCCCCTACAAGCCCTTCCCCGATTGGTTTAGACTCATTTCCAATATTTTCCATTCCGGACTGAGCAAGATATCACACTTCCCAGCAATTTTCTGATGGAAGGAATGATTTTCTTATTGAAGGAGCAGTCAGGCTGAAACAAATCGACTGCAACACRCATGGTTATTCCAGCAAAGGAAAAAAAAACCCTAGAAAACAGAAGAGAAGTTTCAGCCACAACCTCCAGAGACTTCTGACAGTCCTCCACTTGCAGTCGGCCTCTAAACAAGTCAAAAAACTGCCCAGAAAACACTGAGAACAAGAAGAAGGAATGAGAGAAAGATAGAGCAGAATGAATCAGGTTCTGCCACCCCCTCATTGGCTTTTATATTACTTGATAAAAAAGAGTACAATGACAAAAATACCCRTCAACTGTGACAGAAAGAAAACACAAGTACAGCAGTTTGAAATAAAAACAAATAAATGTGGGGAGCATATTTCTGCAACTAACAACATATAAAAAACAACTAGGTGTCCCTGTCTACATCTCTACAATAAGAATGCAATTCACCATTCCTATTCTGAACAAAGAGATGTATGTTTGTAGATATGGCAAATTGGCATACTTGACTGGGAATATAAGCACACAATATCAAGGATCTAACATAGTAGTGAGATTGGTTGATGTTTCTTTAAGTATTTAATGAAGAAATAAGTAGTATTAAGAACAGAAGAGAAGAAAAACATCCTCAACCATAATATTTCATACACTYCATGACTCTATGCTCATTTGAACACTGGATCTAACAACCAGTCTACTTCTAACTTCTCCACGTGACAATGTTACCCTCCTAGAAAGGTGCAATAACTTGAGGTTACTGAAAAGAATAAAGCAAATCTTTACCTGGAAATCCATTCAAGTAGCATAGTATTCTCTCAGCAACATTCAAGTGGGGAAACCTAGGTCAATGCACGTACTGACACCCTCAAAATGCCCYGAGGCACATGCTGGAAGCATTAATCCGAGGCATATGCCTCAGGTGCATGAGGTGTATGCCTCAAACACCTTTTGCATGAGGGGTACCAGAGGCGTGTGCCTCATG